AGGCTTTTACTTTTCCTCTGCTTCCAATCGCTTTCTTTAAACTACTTATTTTGGAGAGTTCGGGGTTACCACACCACATATTGCAGATAGAGAGGCTGCATTCTATGCAGAATAAATGATTTAAGAACCGGGCTTGGCCGATTTCTTTTTTTCCTCCATACTGGAGATAAAAAGAAGGAACACATTCTAGTAATCCCTGCTCATTTTCACGGCCATTCTTGCACCTGTAACTCAAATAATGAAGCCATTTGTTATTTATATTGCACTTTCCCCTCCATTCTAGATTTCTAACGATCTGACCCTGTTTTATGGCCCTGACAAAGCCTGAAACCGGTGTGGACTTCCAATAATTGAACGATATAGGGAAAAATCTTTAGCTGGAATGAAGCAGATGTTACCTTCATGCAGTCCCCTAACTTGATTATTCTTTGGACACGTTAGACAAGCATTAGTGATTGATAATGACGCTAATTAACCCCTTTCCTTTCCAAAACAGCAAACCAACGCCAGCAGGATTCCGCAAACGCCACACGCAAAAGTACGGCATGCATCAATATCCGCTGGAAGTGGATCAGCGACGCAACTTCATTGCCCAGCACTCAACAAAAATCTTCTCCCGCCGACACCAAGCCAGCTCCAAATCCGTTCTGAGAGTTAACCGCTCCCGCCGCTCGCGGGGCAGGGAGCACGGACGCGGCCGCTCAATTCGGAAGAGGTGCACGGCACAGAACCAGAGGCAGGCACCATTTATTTTTTACACTCCTGACCTTTCGCGTTTGATTATCGAGCCGAGGGTTTAAAACACTTCGCCGGGACGGACTTCACGTCGCTCCCGGTCGGAAGGGCGCTGGTTATGGGAATCTGGTCTGGGCTGAGACATGCATGTAGCAAGGAGGGAAAGGGAAGTGCACGTTCTGGAATTTAAATGCGAGGCAGAAGACGAGTAAACAAACAAGGAGCTGATCTGATTACGCAGTCGAATTTATCATGGACAATAAAGAAATCGCCTCTAAATGTAAGGGTTTGGATAAATGAATACTCCTAGCAAGTGAATAAAATGTATTCAATTAACTAAAAACCTCGTGCACTTCTGAACTGAAGTGGAATCGACTGTAATTGATTTATTTGAAACCAGAGGTTAAGGACTGAATTAGCTAAGTACAACTGGGTATTTCAAGCCACTGACTTCTCAAATGTCAAATCCCTTCTATTTTAAATATTATTTCAGCTGCGGGGCATTGCTGTCCTGATGGCTGTTCCACCAGTTAAATCTCAAATTATATTAATATTCGATTTTTGGAGGGTGGGGTAAATTACGGCACAAAGAGGAGGGCTGTCCTTGTTCACGGTGAAAGAGCACCGAGCTGTATTTTGGTTCACATGTAGGAATGAGCTAAGCGTGGCAGCGACGGTCTAGCGTTCGGCCACCGCTCACCCCCTTTTCAGCCAGTCCGGGGGAAAAAAAATAACAGCAGATTTTTGTTCAGTGTATAAAAGCATGACCTAGAATTTCACTGCTGCACATTGATCACAACGTTAAAAACGCATCCAAAGAACGCTAAAGTAATTAGCACGTTTTAGTAACTGCATATTGGTCACAGCAGAAGAGGCTGAACCGAAGCTAGTCTGATTTCCATTATCGCCTGTAAAATCCTTCCTTAGAAATAATAGCAATAAAGAAATCTATGCAAGGTCATTTCATTTCTCTTTTCGGGTGGCTTGCTAGTGCAGCAGCAGGATACTTAAAATGCGCTCTCCTAGCATAAAGTAGCTAATTATATCTTTAAAACATTATTTATTATGACCTTATAATGTTCTAGCATAAGACTGCTTTATACATTGCCCAGTATAAAACGATTATATTGGGTACAGGTTTCAAAAAGTAACAAGCATCTGTAAATCCAGATATGAATGAATGGTATTTAATAAGATTGTTTTCGTTTAAAAATGAGTATTTATGTGTTGCTGTAGAAAGAGCAGCAATGTATTGCTGTTTATGAATGCTATTGTGCCTGAGGTTAGGATCCCACACACAATCTGAGATGCAGCCAAGAAAAACAGCCCTGATAGACAATGCTTCACTTCACCTGCTACAATACTGTGCATTTCATTTATGTCAAGAATATGTACAGTTAGGGTTCATTCACCTCATTATTTTGTTACATCTACTTTACAGTTAACCAGTCTCTCTTGGAAATAATAAATAACTGTTTTAAAAACAATTGCAGCTTTGCATTCAAAAGATCCACTTTCAATTTATAGGAAAAAAATATTCACCATTTTTATAAACTGGCTGGCTCTCGAAAATAGAATTTAGACTCCACCAACTCTCTTTCTGCTTGGCAAGATTGATTTTACACTGCCTTCCATAAGTAGATTACCAAAGCAAAATGAAACATCTTGGGCTTTATCTAATGCTTTGCTTCACCAGCCCTACCAAACGTCAAAATATATGAGCAAATGTTAATTCTCGTTGCAGCTTTATTGTAAACACCTCCCTCTTAACCTCCTCAATTTCTGCCTGAGCAAAAAGGGGGAAAAAAAAAAGAGAGAGAGAGACAGAGAGACAGTCAGGGAGGGAAGGAAAGAGAGAAAAATCAGCCGCCGCCACCACCAAAATATCACCAGCACTTAAAGGAGACCATCTCTTTAAAATGCCTTTACATTCTAGACTGCATTAGTCTCCTTTCCTATGATATAATATAATCCAGCCTGATCCGGACTTCACCTACCCCCTGGGCCAAAGAAAACAGATTCAAAATCTGTACTCTCACATGTTTTTACAGCCCATCTTCAAGATGTACACTCCATTTTTAAAAAAAAAAAAAAAAGCAAACTCCCCTATTTTCCAACTGGTTTCCACAAGAAACTCAAGATAAAAATTTCAGTCCCTTATAAACTGACACCACCGTCTCAAAATGTCAATCTGTGCATTCCACTAAAATGCGAACCATCAATCAGAAATAATCTGTCTCCTGCAAGATTTCACTAAAGTTCACAACCGTGAGATGATTTTGTTGGCATCGACTACGGAGCTTTTCTTTTTTCTTGAGGGGGAGGCAGCACCCGGCTCTGATTCACTGGTATATAGGGTCTTTTCATAGCACCTAATTTTTGGTATTTGCCCAGTAATGATTATTTTTAAAATGTCCTTCTCAAGATAATGTTGGGGGTTTTTTTAATCTCTGCTCTCCATTAAGACAACTACATGTACAAAATTTTATAGGCTTATAAGTCTGCGAGCTATATATAAACATAAATAAAAACCTAGAGGTCAACATAAATAAAATAAAACTTTATTTTTTAAATAAAATTATGTTTTGGTTAAAGAAAAGATAGTGTGTCATTTTGTTAGTAGTACAGACAATTTTTTATCCAAAAGAATACATTGTGCTTTATTGTGTCATTTGTCTGAATACAGACTCAGTGGAATATCTAAATGATACCCTGCTCTGAACTCCAAGTTGAAAGTAAGTTTTTATTATACTTGAGGGAAACAATGGGTTCAGCTGCTTATTGCAAGGAGCAATTGTCAAGGGAGAGTTAAACTCAATTACTGTAACCATACTGAATAAAAAATACTGCCAAGAACAAAAATACGCCTGGGTAAAGACAGCCACTGAATAAAAAAATCGACATAAAGCGTATCAAATATTTATTTATCTGGGCAACAAAGGACTATGATACATTGACAGGCATGGAAACTACTGCCGGCACAACTCAATACAATACAACTATAACTGCTTCCAATATGGCCAGTGGAAATACAGGATACCAGGTGGTCCCAAATGTTTGAAGTTCTTTGGAAAAAAAAAAAAAGAAAAAAGAAAAAAAAGGAGAAAAAGAACAACAAAAGAAAGGGAGAAAGAAAAAAAAAGAGGGGGGAAAAAGGAAAGGAAAAGCTAAATCTTGTTTTAAAAGACAATATTAATTTATTGCTCTGATGGTGCTTTAGGGAGAAGGACAGTGGATGAAAATAACTTCTTTCATTTTCCACAACACATAAGGGTTGTAAAACCACTAACATGTTTAAAAACCTTGCCGGGGTCCAACATCACTTTATTTTATCTTCAATGAGAAACTAAATGTCGTACTAATTATATATAAAAATTCATGGTTTTTTATTTGTTCAGCTGCTTCATTGTCGCCTTTAACATGCTACAACAGGGCTAAAAATGATGAATCCCAGAGAAAAACCCCCAAAAAACCTCTGATATCTAAATAAGTACCATGAACCACATGATGAACTAAGAGGGGAAGATTTAAAACCCACTAAACAAGAGGTAAACGAGATCACCAGATAAATAAAAAAAGGCTTAAAACAGACTCACCATATTTACAATTCCCATTAAATTACACATAAATAAATATATACATACATGAACACTGATTCCCTTATATAATAACCGTGAATCGTGTTGCAATAGAAAGTTCAAGTTGGTCGCTTTACCTTGGACAGGAAAAAGTTCTACAACTGAAGATATGACATGGAACTGCTTGTGTTTTGTGTTCAAGTTTATTCACAATACTGGTAAAATGTCATCAGTCCTTTTTGCCTTTTGTTTGTTTGCTGTTGCTGCTGCTGTTGTACTTTTTTCGCCTTTTTTTCATTTTTAATATGGCTACAATCTTAACTGAAGTTTATGTAAGGGAAGGTGGTGATTCAGTCCGGTGAAGCTCATAGAATTTTTTAAGTATTATTTATTTCTTTTTGGTTTTTTTTTTTATTTTAAATGTATTTTTTTTTAGAAAAAAAAAAAAGTCCTTTTCTTTTTTTGTTTTGTTTTTGTGGGGTTTTTTTCCTCCTTTTGTTTTATTTAAAAAAAAGTTCACAAACTCAAGACAGAACTTTTTTTCTTTGCTGGCTCCGTCCCCCTGTTCTGTTCTCTTAGGCTCCAAACTGGGGTAACACGATGGTGGCAGCGGGGAGGGGGGTTGGGGATGGGAAGTTAAGGGGGAGCAAATGGAAACGTGGATGGATGCTGGGAAGGGGTGTGAGGGGAGAGGGGCAGAGCAGTCCTGCAGAGTCAGAGAACAGGATTGGCAGAAGGACGCTCATTCTGTTGCTGTAGCCTGGGGTGCTGGGTGCAGGGGAGAGGGAGGAGGGAGACGAATGGATCGATGGGCTATGTGGGGGAAGGGAGAGGAGCGTGTGTGTAGGGGGGGGCATCCTCACTTTCGGTGCTTCTCCTCTTTGTCGCCGCTTTTGGTGCTGTTGTCTGTGTGGCTGTTGGGATTGTTGCTGAGGTACATTTTGTCCATGGCCTTGAGCGCCTCGGTGAGATAGTTCTGCAGGGCGGTGACGGCAGCGCACACCGCCGGGCTCCCGAAGCCGTGTGAGATGAGGTTGAAGTGGGTCAGGCAGCTCTGGATGCCCGGCTCCAAAATGGGGTTGGGCCGCGAGTTCCCCAGGGGAGATCGGTCCTGAGCCAGCAGGTCGGTGAACTCTTTACAGATCTGTCTGTAGCACAAATGGAGCAGAGAGACAGAGGGAGGGAGGCAGGGAGGGGAAGAGAGAGGGAGAGAAATGAACCATCACTGGCGGCAGCAAAGCCTGTGCATGCTCCCTGCTAGCGTATGCGAGCCCCTGGACCAAGGGGGCTGCTGCCCCCCAGTTCACACCCCCGCGCTCACCCGCCTCCCCCTCTCCTCTACACATCCTTCCCCCTAATTCTCACACTTCCCCGGCACGCACAAACCTCTTCCCTTCACCTCGCCTGCACACACACATCACGCCCCGGCCCCAGCCAACATGCAAGACAAATAACAGGCGTACACACACACATACAGACATCCCCCCCCCCCCTGCCAACCCCCATAGCACACCGCCCCCCCAAACACATAGCCCTGGCCAGCTGGGTTTGGGAGCAGCCAGGTAGTTTAAAGTTTCCCAGCAAGGTGGAAAGGAATAGATGGGGTGCAATATCCAAAGGGAGGTTCAGGGATTTATCCATGTCTTGGAAGATTATTTTTTTTTTGAACCGGAGAGAGGCGCGGGCCTCTTCCTTCACAAGGCTAAAACGTGCCTGTGTGTCAGGAAGAAGGAGTGAGGGCAGAGAGGGGAACCGAGGCTTTAAATTAGGGTATTCTGAAACATTTATATATGTACATCTCTATCTCCAAATCCAAGGGGACCTTCCCGCAGAGGCGAAGGCTGACGCTAACCGGGGTCTGGAAATTTCCTTCCAGGGAGGTGGGAAGAGAGGATACGAGGGCACGGTGCAGAAGTTAGGTTGTATCATCCCCTTGCTGCAGGAACAGTTGGGGAAATAACACACCTTATAGCAAGAGAGCTCCGAGGCGTGTTGAAACAGTTTGTATTCTAAAACCCGCGTTAATGTCTTCCAGCCATAAAGCGGCTCCCATCTTCTGCCTGCGCCCTCTGGCACTGTGCCCTTTGGTGACACCTCCATTGGTAATTAAGGGCTACTAAACAACCCTTTTAATTTCCAGCAAACATATCAAAACAATCATTTTCTTTTCACACACCACCTGGAAGTCTAGGCAGCCCCACCAATGATAAACTCTGCTAGCATTTTAACTGCATACAGATTGTCATTTAAAATATATTTTTAATATCCCTATATTCACTAAGTAACAGAACTGCTTAGGCAGAAAGAACCACTGCAGATTTTAATGAACTGAAGTCAGTTTAATCTGCCAGTTTTATTTTACTGTCAATGGGAAGCCTTCCCTTTCTACCTAAATTGATAAGCTAAGCGAAAAGGCCCAGAAAATGTTTTGCTTTGAAGAATTACTGCTTTTTCTTTAACTAAACATCCACCCACAATTTTCACGACTCGCTTTTAAGGTAATCTGCACGAACTGACTTGATGGAAACCAAGCTGGGTTATAGAGTTCTCCTATAGCAGGAGGGCAAATACACCCCCTCACAATTTGCAAAACCATCGGCCACTGGCTATGTGGCAAACCCTCACAAATAAAAGCCCCAAACCCAGGTTCATCGCCCTCCCCTCACTTCTGAACAACATGCCAGAAAAGTAAATGTCTTACTTTGTAGCTAGAAGCATGTTTTTTCTTGTGACTTGCTCGTTTGGATCGGAATGTTGTCGGTTGAGAAATTCAGCTACTGCTTTGGCAGGAAATTCTGTCTCACAAACGTACCCAAAATCTCTAGCTAGATGTACTGCTTCTCCTGAAAAGGCAGGCATGGGTGGGGATGGGAGGGAAACACACAGCTCATCAGTACACATCGCAGAGAGGCAAAAATCCATTAGGAAAAAAGCACTGCATTCTACTTGGGCTTTTCTTCTAAAAGGCTTGGATTTTTTTTCTTTGAAAAAGGCAGGGTAAAAAATGCTAATCTCATCTTATCTTGCAGGAGTTTTCTTTGCTTCAGTCGAGGGCAATGCAAATGTGTATTTTCATGACAATCGTTACAAGTGAAATCTCGCATAAGAATTTTTTAAAGTTTACATTGACTAACAGATACTTTTAGACAGGCAGGCTCCATCCACCAAGAATGTGTGCTTAAATTTACATATCCATACCTATACACAGCCATTTATGTACATCTCATTCACAGCTATTTACTCTGGAAATGTTTGTTTGCCTCAGCCACCTCTCTATATTCTTTTGCAATGCATCAATGATTAATATTGATCATAATTACTCCTAGAGCTCTTCTAAATAAAATGCATTAAACAGCTAAGTGTTTAAAATTTAACTTGATCGCATATAATTATACGTTCACCCCCAAACGATTAACCATGAGAATTTTAAGGTCATTCCACCGAGTCTGTCTGTTTTGTTGATTTTCAAATCTTTGGTTTTAATTTCCTGAACCAGTTGGTTTTTACTGCAGGGCTTCCTGCCATTAGCTCTAGCTCCGGAAGAACGCATGCGCCAATTAGAGCTTCAAAGCCTCAGTCCAGTGAGCTTGTTTCCATAAAATGGAGCGGATCATAAACAATAACAGTACTCTAGAAACTGCCTCATCACTACAGGACTCAAAGCCCCAGCGATGTTTATACGATCATCTCCCCAAAATTAGCCACCATCACTAAGTTATCTGGAGACTGGGCCTCTGGTTTTGTTTTGGGGTTTTTTTCTTTTTTCTTTTTTTTAAATTATTCTTTTAAAGCCATTGTATATGAAAGCCAAACAGAACAATAGATTACCATAAAACCTTCTCCATATTCATTAACATCACAAATAATGTTAAGCATCTACCAAATCTAGACTTTTTACAAGTTTTCCCCTTGTGATTTTTTACTACAGCTCATCATGCACTTGCAAAGCCTTTTCAAAAACATGAAGACACAGTAATTTGCACGCCGTATAAATATAGTGTGGCCACTAATCCCGATGTTGGTTTTTTTCTAAAAAAAAAAGGCCCGGTATTGCACAGCGCTTCTTTCCCTGTGCCTTTGAACATGAAACATTTCTCGAAGAATGCAAAGTGACAACAAAACAAAGCAACAAACTCCTTCCTACACAACCTAACTTAAGCTAAACCTGTGCAGCCCGGGCTGAGCTTAAAAGCGCTTTGCAGACTGAACCTGTCTGAAATGTTGTCGAACGCATAAGGCAGTGGAAAAGGGGAAGATCTGTTTGCTGGCCTTGGGCTTACTTTGTGCCAGTCGGTCTGACACAGCAACTGCTTCAAAAGTCAATGACTGCAAACGCTTGACTTTCCCGCCTCCCAGTTCTGACAGCATAGGACATCTCAGGGCGTTAAAAGTAAGTTGCAACTTTTCTGGCCAGAGCAAAGTAGAGGAGACCAATACAGCCAAGGGAACATATGTTCTGAAAATGAGAACCAAAAGGGAGTGGGGGGTGGTGGTGGTGCAACTTTGAGGCTTTCAGGACACCATTAATTCATGGCTGAGGTCAAGGATTCCCAAATTAATTCAGGAAGTAATGGTCACGCATTTCTCAAATGCAGATGTCAGAAAACTTAAATGATTTACTGTTATGTGGCTACGGGCTGGGAGGGAGAACAAACTTAAAGTAGCTGCAGTTTCTGACATTTAAAATTGTGTGGTTGTCCACCTGTGGCAGAAGGACAGCAGTGAAGCGTTAAAGGCCCTGCTCCCCGTAACTTCAAACTCGACACTGGGGGGTCACTTACAGGGCTGAGCCCACAGGCCTTGTTTGCAGGGATCCTCCCCATGCTGCTCCCACTGAGATCCACTTACTCTGGGGAGGGATTACTCACTTGAATGAGGGAGCAAGATGGGGCCCTGAAAGCATTTAGTTCAGAGACTAAAAAGCAAATAAATGGTGGAATGCAATGCTGAGTCTGCAGGACTCACCAAGTCCGTTTCAGGTTAAAAACGAAAGGCAAAGGCATACAATTAACATTTTTTTCCCTGAGGCATAGAAAATAACGCCCTTCCAATTTCCAACAAGCACCACCAACTCGGGGAAAAAAAACCCAACACAACACAACCTACTACCAAGTCTCCCGTTAGGCAAAAGCAACAGGCACATTATCCAAAGGCTCTTTGAGTCACTTACCCTCCACCAGCGAGGTGAGCAAGGTAACGTTAGCAGCTTTACGCCTCCCAGCTGGCAGGTTTAATCCTATTTTGTCCAGTTTCTCCCTCAGAGATCTCCCTCCGTTTTTAGACTTCGCCCTGCTCCACACAAAACGGCATTAAGAAACAGGGGTGGCGGGGGACATACACTCCCACTCTGGCTCCCACCCACCAATTGCCCTGACACATCACCTTCCTGTAGAGGGGTGTAAAGGTTTTTTTTGGGGGGGGACACATGTTTGCGAGGCTGGTGAGCGGGCATTGCTGGGTCTCAGACATAGGGATGGGGCTTTGGATGGCTCCATGTCTAGGGAACAGGAGCTGTCACTAAGGTCCCTATCAGTCCCCAGGCCGGCCAGGAGCTCAGGGCATATTGTTGCCGGGGCTGGACCCCTGAGGCGGCTACCTGAGCTCCCAAGGTGCCATGGATCCAGGGGGAGGCCACACTTTCTCCCCACAGCCCCCGAGCAGCCCCCCAGGCGTTATGAGGGAGATGG